CCTTATATTGAACAGGACTGGACTGATTACACTCCCCTGCGGAGTCCCATTATCTACAGACAAAGAGTCAGGAAAGCTCCCTCCTTCTCTTACCTGAATACACTGTGACCTCAGAGAGTCATCCAACACTAAAGTGAAATCATTATTACCACAACCAAATCTGAAACCATTCTCAAATGTAGAGGACAAAAATATTTCTTTTCCAATCTATATACCGACCTGTCAGTAACCATCCTTACCATACAATCTAAAAAATGCTGGGTTGTTTCAACCCATCTTTGGGTCAAATATGGACAAACTCAGCCATTGGATTACATGTTTGTTTTAACCCAACATTTGGGTTTGTCCATATTTGACTCAAAGGTGGGTTAAAACAACCCAACATTTTTTTAGAGTGTAATCTGCAAGAGCAATTGGTCTATGATCCAGGGCTTTCAGCTTCCTTACCGGGTTTTAAAATCGGCACAATTACTGCATGTTTCCATTCAGCTGGAATTGATCCTTCCTCCCACACTATTTTAATTAATGCCAATACCACCTCCAATGCAAAGTCATCCATATCCTGAAAGGTCTCATATCCCAATCAATCTCTCCCAGGTGTAGTGTGTCACCCTCGTCTTATTGACCTTCTTAATTCATATAAAGAAAAGAACATAACGATTACATCACTGTTGTCATTATTCTTGTTTATGTCCTTCATGCTTAAGCATTAGATCCCTCCCAATCAAACCTTCACTACCAACATTCCTATCACTGTGCACTTGCTGGAAACCTACAAATCAGCCTCGTCCTTGTTACTTAGCACTTCTCTACCCCCTTCTACCAAAACCGGAATAGAAAAACCTTTATTACCGGCATTCGATGAATCATATTCCAAACATGTTCTATATACTGTAAGTCTCAGAGCCGAGAGTGCCACAGAACTCTCTCTCTTTACACACTTTATAACCTTCCTCGCCACAACTCTCCATATTCAACAACAAGACATCTGCGAAGCTGCCTATAAGCTCTGTTTCTAACCCGCTCAGCCTCATCACATGCCTGATTCCACCCAGGCACAACTTTATTATCACCCTTCATTTTAATGGCTTTTTCTGCTTCTTTCCTCACAACTCCACAAAGAGAATAACTCTGGGAAAACCCAGAAAACTTCCGGCAAATTTAGATTTGCGCTGAAAGTTTGTTTGGCAAAGAGCTCATTCAAGCCCATTCCCAATTCGTCGAAACCGAGGCACAAATCAGAAACGTTGGGGCGGGCTTTTACACGATGACGACAGCGCTGGGATTTTGAAGCAGATTTGGTAGCAAAGATTTTGTATTACAATGATGAATGCCGCCGTCAAACATGACTCGTTCGAATCAGCTATCGCGTCTGTTTTAAGCAATTTGAACGTTTGCTTTGAAACAACACTCGGATGTTTGTCCGCCGCTCTGCATACATCATATCCTTCATCGATCTGATTGGTTTTAGGTCTATCCGCGATAAGGATGTGAATTTATGCCAAAAAATGCCATTCGAAAATCGAGGAGCAAAAGTCGATTTATCATTCGAAAAAAAAACCCCAAAAAAACACACACTCACAATGACAGAAAGGGAGGCCAAAGGTCAATTTCACCGTTCATCCTCGGTTGCGGTGTCGCACGCGCAACTTTTTTTAAAAAAAAAAAGCTGCGACACAGCCAAGCGAAATGAGGTCTTGCGCACCCAACTTGTAATTTTTGCCGCGCTCGTGCGGACGCTTCGAGTATAAAGGCTTTACGCCGTGTCAGCGTGCGCTAGCGGTAAAGGTGCACAGACCTCTCCCGAATCATCTTCAGCACTCAGCCTCCGAATTTAGCACCACTAACTTTGCCTTCGTTTCCCTCGTAAGTTGATATTAGTATTTAAACATTCTCTATGATATATTTTTTTAAAATGACACACTGTCTCTTTCTCTCTCACACATATGTAGGCTAGTTATAGTGGACTTTTAATGATTAGTGCTTTATTTTTAAAGTTTGTGGGTAAGAATCGTGTAAAAAAATCCCTTATTTTGGGGATGGATTCCGTGAAATCTCCCTTATATATGTTCAATGTTAACAGCTATGCCCCCAAGACATGTTTGTAATTTTTTATATTTATATTTTAATGTCATGTTTGAATAGTCTTTTTCATCTTGTTAAAAATGAGAATAAATTACAATTCAAATATATATATATTTAGTTTAAAATAAGGCGCGGCCTGTAATCTTCTTTGGCCAATAGGCACAGCTCCCGCTGAACGTTTGACCTTAAAGTTTGTGATTGCAGCTTGTTTTATTTTGAAAATTTAGCAAAGTAAAACATAAACCACAATGGATTGTTTTTTGCTCCCTAAACGTCTACGTTCTGAGTCACAAGGAAAACGAAACTGCGAAGGCGCAGACACCGTACTTGTCACAGAGCCCCAGGAACAAGAAAATCCTAGGGATGAAGACGAAGGAGAATCGCCGGCGGCTTCCATGGAGGATACTAACGTAAACTTTCACACACACATATATATAGGCTATATAGTGCTGGTGTAGCGCCAGTGAGATGTTTGTGGTGGCAAGTGTTAATACTCTGCAAGCCACATTGAGAAATGTCATGTACAAATTTATATGTCGGTTGAATGACTCTGAGAATTATATAATTGTCGCATTGACCAATATCAAATTTAGCACTACACGGTATATGTCCAAGTTATGAAAGCATTGGTATAGTTGTCTCCTTTGAAGTTGTTTTTGTTTTTTTATATTATATTATATTGTGTGTACTGTCTTATTTGTCGGTCTTTTTATCTGTTATAGTTGTGGAGCGAGTAACTTAAAGTTAATGCGGTCATGTACGCGTGTGTGTAGGCTATAGCAAGGGTGGTCCCATGCGACCTAATGAAACGCCCCAAAATTCAAAGCACCTTCTCTTGAGTGTTAAGCATCCCCATAGCACCTGCAACCGGAAATCTCTGGTGCCCCCACTGGCTGCTTTTCGAAAATGAAACCCTCTCTCCTTCTCCACATGCAAAACACTTCCAAATTAACTAGGAAATGATCACTGCCTAACGTGTTAAGGTCCATAGGATACCAATTCCCACACCTAGCAATTCTACCTGACGTAAAGGTTAAACCAATACATGACAGACTCCCACTTTTCACCTGAAACCTAGCCGGTCTTCCATCAAATAACACCACCAAATTGTTTTTATCTTTAAAATCTTCAAATAAAACCCCATTTACATCTCTAAATCTGCTGCCCCAAAGAGGATTGTGAGTATTAAAATCTCCTGTCCAGACTACTGGAGGTCTCACCTGATCCGTTAAGTAAGAAAAAATCATGTGGACGTTGAAGATCTCAAAAATTAAGTTTATTAGCATATTAGCCATCCACAAACTTTTTTTAATTCCCATCTATTAGCTATCAAACTCCTGCCATTCCACTGCAGGATACAAAACATTAATATAACTATCAATTTCAACATCGTCATCATCATCTTCCTTTTGACCTCCAATATTCTTCCCCTTCTGTCTCTTGAAAACACATATCTTTAGAGGGCAGCTTCATTTCACACATCACATCCACAATGACAGCCAGGAATTTCATCTTACTCACCAGTCACGACCACTGATTGTTCTGTTACATAAGCTACTGGCGGAGGGCTTTCCGCTTCTCTCCTCCTCGAGTCACTCACCTTACTACATGTTGCAACCTTTTTAACAGCCTCAGCATAAGACACCCCTTCAGCCAAAATTCTTGCACTCCAATTCTTGGATATCACCACCAAATTCTTCCTTCAATGCACCAGCAAGCCTAATTGGATTTTACGGAGGCGTATTGCATTCACTTGAAGAAAAAAAAATCTACTCTGTTTTTCTGAATTAATGAGTTAATTTTTCATGAGAAAAAAAAATTTGCTCTGTTTTTCTGAATTAATTAGTTAATTTTTCATGAGAAAAAAAGTTTTTGCTCTGTTTTTCTGAATTAACGAGTTAATTTTTCATGGAATTTTTTTTTTTTTGCTCTGTTTTTCTGAATTAATGAGTTAATTTTTCATGAGAAAAAAAATATTTTGCTCTGTTTTTCTGAATTAATGAGTTAATTTTTCATGGATTTTTTTTTTTTTTTGCTCTGTTTTTCTGAATTAACGAATTAATTTTTCATGGAATTTTTTTTTTGCTCTGTTTTTCTGAATTAACGAGTTAATTCAGAAAAAAACAGAGCAAAAACTTTTTTTCTCACGAAAAATTAACTCATTAATTCAGAAAAACAGAGCAAAAAAATTTTTTTCTCATGAAAAATTAACTCATTAATTCAGAAAAACAGCAAAAAAAATTATCATGAAAAATTAACTCATTAATTCAGAAAAACAGAGAAAAAAACAATTTCTAATGAAAAATTAACTCATTAATTCAGAAAAACAGAGTAGATTTTTTTTTTCTTCAAGTGAATGCAATACGCCTCCGTAGGATTTAGAGAACTTAAAAATCACTTTATACTCTTCCGACTGGATACTGCATCTTCTCATCACCTTTACCTGCTGATCTCTCCCTCCATCTGACTCTTGTGAATCACTAGTTTTATTTCTCTTTTTCTTGTTCTTCCCTTTACTATTTTGTTCCCCTCCACCCCACCTTCATCCTAGCCCTGCATTGCAGGAGCAATGTCTAAATTATTGTAGGTTATTGACTGATTTTCCAGCACTGGTTAGGTTAAATTAGTTAACCAGAATCTGTTCCGATTTGTGTCACAAGTCTTCCCACCTCCACACTGAGCGAGTAAATATGATAAGGTTGGATTCACTTTCTTTAATACATATGCACATATTATTATTATTATTATTGAAGTCTAAAGAGCATTTAGCAGGCATTTCACGTTGCATCGGCCGGGATTAGCCTACTTGAGGTTAGTGTGTGAAAGTTCGGTTTGAATCAGCCAAACACATCAAGACTACAGCATCCTCCACACACACGGCCTCTGGCTCGATGCGTTAGAAGGGGATGTTTTTTTCGGGGTTTCGTTTGTTCCCTCCTCCGCCTTTTCGCCTATAAAAGCGCAGAGTTTCTTTTCAGGGCAGATAAACTCAATCTGCCCTTCACGAGGTATGGACTCAAAGGATGCGCGAGAGTGTTTAGAGAGCGGCGATAGCGCGCGCTGTCGCTGTGGCAACGGGTGGAGGAAAGCGCTCGCGTTGTTCGTCATCCAGGGTTTATTAACAGCCGCTTGTGCAGCCCTCAGCATCAGCATCTATCTCAGCCAGCAGCCTGAAGCCACCGTAAAGCAGGTAAGAACTCGTTTCTGATCTAATTTCAGTTCTTTACAAACTATGATATTGATTCGAGTCTTGCAGTCAGATGATGTATGATGTGCTACAGCTTAAAGTGCAATAGAAAGTCCTTTAGAGGGCAGTGTTGACCATAAATGCCAAAGGTTGGTTTGACGTAAAGCTATTCAGACGAGTCACAGACAGATATTATTCACTTAAATATCTGAGAATGTAGGTTAACTTTTGATACTTGATTGAGGCTTTTTTTATTATGTGGATTTGAGTGGGATTTCAATGAGAGCAGTTTGTGTGAAGGTTAGAGAGCTATTCGTTAACGCTGTTGTTTCATGTGGTCTTGTTGTATGTCTGATTGTGGTCTCATTGAGCTTTGCCTTGGCATGTCCCTTTTGGGAAACCCCTGTTCAAATTTATGAGTTTGTTTTTTTTAATGATAATTTTTCCCCCTTAAATGGATTAAGAGGGTCAACCTAACTTTGAGGTCAGGAGGTGTAACTTTCCATGTCAAAGTAGGGGGTCTATATCAGATAACGCTACCTACAAATGACACTTACTAAATGATCCAGTTAGAACAGGATGGTAAAGCTCCAGTTTCCATTACATCGCTCCATTCTTGTAATGTCCCCACTGTGAGTGCCCACACATGTGATGTGCACACACTATTTGGGTTGCGTCTGGTCCAGAGAAACTGTCTGAAAGGGCATTTTATCGGGGAAAAGTGTGACACTTTCTCTATGCTGGCCTTTTCAGCCCACATGTTCCACAAATGCCGTTTTGCTGTGGTCCATAAGTGTTTTTGTGTGATTCTGTTGATTTGACAGGAGATGGAATTTTCCATGTCTATCAGAATGAGTGTGTCTGTTATTTCTCATCACTTTGATCATTGTTGTTTCTGTATTTTGAATCAACTTGGCCTGGATACCAAGCGGTGACCCAACACAGTAACAAAAAAAGTTTGCCCCTAAAATCAAAACAATAAAAGGTTTATTATATTAATAACATCAAATAGGTTTAGTGCAAAACATTTATCAGCTTAATACAAAGACTGTATTAATGAAATGAAAAAAAAAAATATTAAACTTTTTTTTTTTTTTTGATTGCTTTATATCTAGGCCTAGTCTTCATTGGCTGATTTCTAAATCTATAGTTTAAAATAACACACTAAAAACTCAAATCAGTTTACTACAAGTGAATATGTTAAATATTAATGTTGAAATGTTAGTGTTATATTAATTAATATGTTATATTAATATTAGTGTTCTGAAGTAGACCTGTCTCAATTATTGAATAATCGTCTGATCGTGGTCACTCGATCTAACTGCAATTTCAATGACATTTTGGTATTCAAAAAAAGTCCAAATTTAATGCAGTTATATTGTATTATAAACAATAACATAAATAATGGCTTTAAAATTTAAAGTAAATTGTATGGGCCTATTTTTTATTTAAACATTTATTTTAAAATGATATAAAATCCAAAGACAGGCTTACATTATAAGCGACATTAAGAAAATAGAATAAAAATGTTAACGTTCTGTTTCATTCAGTTCTTTACTGTATCCGCTTTGTGTGTTGATGGAAAATAACTGATACACTGTTGATGTTTTCTCCTCCAGTGGGATTATGATTATTACTGTTACGATTATGAAGCTTTAGGGCGTTGATGCTATTTTAAAGAGACAGAAATATCTTCACTTTGAATGTGTGCTGATGATTTGTTTTGCTATTCCAACTATTTATGATGATATGGTTAGTTGGAATTTGGACATTTGCATTTGCATACTGTACATTTAATATATTTTTGATCAGAGCACTAAACTTTTGTTTTGCTGTTTTCACAGGACACAGGGATATACATGAGCAGTCTCGGTAAGTGTTCTTTTTATCTTTCAGATACATTTTCAGTAAATAAATAATAAATCTTCCTAAAGAGTTTAAGTAAGATAGAGCGCCATAACGTGCCACAAAATTCTGTGATAACTTGTAGTTTTTGAATTCCTTTTTTAAAATTTATTTAGAAAATGCATTCAACTTGTATTCATTTCTGAATTAAGAGCTGCAGACATTTATGACTGTGTTAAGGTCAATAATCAGTATCTCTAATATCACATAAGTTGACTGCTTTATATCAGGGCAAAGTCAGTTCGGAGTAGGGCTGTCAAACGATTAATCACGATTAAAAGTTTGTGTTTACATAATATATGTGGGTGCACTGTGTATAATTATTTTATATATATAAATACAGACACATGCTTGTATATATTTAAGAGATATTTTCATGTATATAGATTTATGTATAGTTTATATTATATATAAATATAAATAACTATTTTTTTTTTCTTAAATATACCTGCATATGTGTGTATTTATATATACATACAAAATAATTATACACAGTGCACCCACGTATATTATGTAAACACAAACTTTTATTTTGGATGCGATTAATCGCGATTAATCGTTTGACAGCCCTAGTTCGGAGTGTAAAATGTAATTTGGTCTAACTCCCCCTTTTTGTCCAAACCAACTGAAATTGACGTAAAGAGTACAGTTCTAACAACTTGCCACATTTTTTTTTTTGCTTTCTTTAGACATTTAACTTTTTCGCATAACTACTTACGAAAGGTGAAATCAGCTTACTAATGTCAGTCTCAGAAGAAACAGTTCCAGACATTGAAGAAAACTAAACAACTTTCTAATTCTCGCTTTTGTTTGTGTTTGTCAGATTTAGATGAAGATGAGCCCAGATTCGAGATCATCTGGAACAAGGCAGTGGATCTGTACGAAGGGAAGAAGATGAAGCTGCCCTGTGGAGGACCGTACATGGTCTATCTGTGGGCTTGTATGAAAAGCTTAAAAACAAATGATGTGGTTGCCAACCTGACAATAGAAACAGGGAATAAATCGTTCCACCTGCAGACCCTACAGCCCAACGAGTGCAAGGAAGTGCAGAAAGTGATCATGCTGTCTGACAAAAACAATGTCACGATGAAAGTCGGACGTGTCAAAGGCACCATCAAAATTACTGAGCTCCTCTTTGGCCTGCACTACATGCTGGGATCCCAGTGCTTCCCTAACCCACTTGATGATGAAAGCTACAATCGTGTCTCAACTGGATAAGAAGCTTTTTAGGTGCTCGTCCTTCAGAAGAGCCGTTAGTGATGAAACTACGGCATGACCATCAGTTTTGAAATCTCTCGCTTCACCCAGTTTGAAATATTAGGACGATGCCATAGTCAAAACTCGTCCTGGACCAAAAGTGTAATCGTGAAGCTAACATTTGGAGAGCTGCGAATATGCTTTTTCCATAGAGGAAAACTCTCTGTTATTTTGCCACACTATATTATAGCTTCCAGGCTCTTCAAGACGGACTATTTGGCAAACACCTACAGCAAGTGGAAGTGGGCGATGACGTGGTATTAACTGCAATTGCACTATGGCAGCTCAAAAAGAGCGTTCCTCACCACAACCTGGATTAGTGGTGGTTCCATAAGCTCTACGAATGTTTTGAGATTCTGTGGTTGGAAAGCGAAAGGAAGGCTTTTAACCGAAGTTAAACCAGTTGCAGATCGTTTTGAAGCTTCTGATATAGCACTGTACTTTGAGAAGGATTAATTAGAATGTCCTCAAATATTGTCCTGATTCAGCTTTTAAATACTGACAGCAATAATGTTCTCAATGATTGTCATTATCATTATATTTATTGGAAGACCCCCACCCCCCGCCTGTTGTTTTTTTTTATTTTTTATGATATTTAACTGTCTAAAGCAGTTTAATTATGTAAACTGTTTATGATTGAATGTTCGATGCTTTATTTAAATCAGAGTTATTGAATAATCTAAGGATTGAATCCACACTGTCAGAACTTTAAATGTTCCGGTAGTGCACTTTCCCTTTAAGAGCACATGTCAGAAAATGTATTTATTGAAATGAAAGGTTTTTTTTTTTTGTATTATTATTTAATCAAACATCTTGATTGTGAACTAAAGCACTAAAAACCTCAAAAGCAAAAACCAAACAATCTTCCACAAATTCAGACAAGTTTTTAGTTTATTTGGTTTTATCGTCAGTGCAATGTGTTTGTGTGTATCGAACATGACCCTAAACGTCTTACTTGCTCAGTCAAACCTCTGCTGCAATTTCTCTAGTGATATTTTATTTATACAGCAAGGTTTGCACTTCTATTGTATAGCTATTATACACCATCAATAAAGATATGCTGAAACATTTTAGTCATCTGCATGTATTTTTTCCATCATTTTGCATAGTTTATATTCTTAGCCAATATATTTGTCTTGTCTTCCAGACCAGTTTTCTTTTAATTCACCTCACCTCACAAGCAAATCTGCACAAAACATTGAGACTTGTCAAAAATGTATTTTGTCTTGTGCCACTAGCTGATTTCTTTTTAAATTAGACTGGTAACGCTTTACAAACACAGTTCATGAATTATACATAATATTGTTTATTCATAATACATTTATGTTAATTTTTACAATGAAATATAGTGTACTGTATGTAGAAGTGATCATGATCCAAGCCTAGTTTAAAATACCTAATACATTAACTAGTGCTCTAACAAAATGTTGTTGTCAAATCATATGCGTGTCTCCCTTTCACTCCTCCCTTTATACTCTCACGTCAGTCATTCCTGCCAGTACATGCTTGTTTGCTTCCAGCCAGTTATTTCACAATTGAAAGTGAAAGTACGCTCTCATGTAAACATGTCACTGTAACACTATCCCGCTGAATCCTCCAATTGCATGATTGTGATGTCACTAGGGAATCCCCGGCTGTTCACAAGGAAATTATATCAATGTCCAGATCTCGCACCATGTTGTCGACTCATTCCCCATTAACTTTTAATTAAAGTTATTTTGAAACATTTTAGTTTCAATATTATTGCATTTTTCATTATTAATCTGGGATTTAAAATTCCATGTGAATATGAAAATAAAGGATTCAGAAAAATAAACTGAAGAAAAAGTTATTACATAAAATGAATAGGATATAGACCTATTTCTAGGTCATTAATCTTAAATAATCAATTTTGTATATGTAACTTATTTTACAGATGATCAGAAGGGACATTCTTGATATTCTCAAAATGCTGATAATATAATTTGTAATTATTTTTCAAAAATTTCAAAACAAAAGCATTTTCATTAATGGTCTCCGACTTGCGACTGTGACAATTAATTTTGACTCCTCAAAATTGTGAGATATAAACTCACTTATTATGTGCAAAAGTTTATATCTCACAATTCTCAGTGAAAAACAAGTCGCAATTACCTTTTATATTTTTTATCCAGTGGTGAAAACAAGCTTCCATTTTTATATATATATATATATATATATATATGAATTGAACCTTTCACAAACATATTTAGATTTACCTTTCACTAAACATATTTAGATATACGGGAAATTGCAATGGAAGATGATTTCAATATATCTAAATATGTTTAGAGAAAGGTAAAACTTCCGAAATCTCCGTGTAAACAATGCGTGACGTCGACGCGCGAAAGATCACTTCCGGCGTAACAATCACTTCCGTCACGGTTCAGTTCGGTTCAGTTGGACTTCTGATTCAGATCAGTTCGACGGCTGTTAAAAAGAGGTAAAAACTATATAAATACTGTTCGTTTTCTCACACAAACCGCTCGTTTCGTGTCTTAGGCCATCAATGTATACTTACATTCACGAGTCATTAAATCATGTTTAATTTTGACTTCTCTGTGCATGCTCTTTGAGGTGAACCAAGGGAGGACCCGCTTAACCTCCAGTGTATGACTGACAGACAACAACTGTTTGACCAAAAAATGTCAAAATTGAAAATCCTGTGGAAACAAAGACACCTACATCTTGGATCCCCTTGAGGTAAGCTAAAACATATCATAAATTAATTTCAAAGTGAACTATCCCTTTAATATATTTTTTTGCCAATTTCATGAAATAATTAAAAAAAAAACATTAATAACAGAGTAGACTAAATAACAAGGTAGACACGTGATATAATAATTGGATGGATAAATTACTCTGTTGTGAAGTAAATACAAATGTAATTTCTACCTGAATGAGTCAATTCTTATATTAGTACTCAATTCAAGCTTTTAGAAATGAAAGTATATAAACATTATAAAATTAAGTAAAACCTACTTAACTTTTTGATACTGGTGTTTCCATCATGCACTGGTACTTGAATAATTAATAAGGTTGCATTTTCACTGTTTTCCATCTGCATTTATATGGTTTGGTTTTTTAGATTTTGTAACTTGTTCTAAGTAAAGCATAAAGCATACACTTTAAAAGCATGGCTTAATTCTGTTTTATATTGTTTGAGTAAAATGTAGGCCTCCTTTAAAAAGAGTATTAAAATGTAAACTTAAACTTAGACACTATTAAACACAGATTGCTTATCCTAAGTATACTCAACCACGGTACTGGAATCTCTGTAGTAAACGCTTTATTAGCAACATGAAATTAATGTCAGTGATCAACAAAAAAAAAAAAATCCAACAAACACGACCTTTTGTTTACACAAAAGCGAGTTTCTGCCATGCAATAAAAAAAGTATAAAAGGTAGTTGAGTCTTTTTATCTCAAAATTCCCCTTCTTGAACTGGCACTTTACCGTGGTGGAGGGGTTTGAGTACCCGAACAATCCTAGGAGCTATGTTGTCCGGGACTTTTTGCCCCTGGTAGGGTCTCCCAAGGCAAACAGGTCCTAGGTGACGGGTCAGAGCGGTTCATAAACCCTTTTTAAAAAAAAAAGGACCGTGAGGTCACCCGTCATGGCGCAGCCAGGGCCCTACCCTGGAGCCAGGCCAGGACTGGGGCTCGTTTGCGAGCACCTGGTGGCCAGGCCTCCCCCCATGGTGCCCAACCAGGCTAGTATAGTAGTACTATAGTCTAGTAGGTTCCCATGTAACCGTTTGGCATTTTTCTGTAACCTTTTGTTTTGGGACCCTAATGGTGTCTATTTAAGAATTTTTGATGTTGCCAACTAATGTCCCATGGGGAACGTGGCAAAAAAAATGCAGATTTTTCATATCTCCTGAACCACAGAACATACAAAGACAAATGAGCCTACTTTTTCATATAATTTTGACATCATAAATCAAATGGAAAGGTCACTGACATGGTAAAAAACAGCAAAATAACACATTTTAGGCCCATACCGCTGTAATATTTGATATTTTGTTTGACAATAGTTTTCTGCATTAGTCCCGTTTGTCATAAAACCATGAATGTGGCTTCAAATCATGTGAATTATTGAGATACAATGTGCTATTTCTTTTATAAGCATAGGCGAAAAACTGGGCAAAAAGTCTCATAGACTTAACATTGCAATAGACTTTGGTGAGTTGGTGATTTTTTTTTTTTATCACTTTGGCTCTGGACAGGGATTTCATAGAAACATATGGGTTACCATATTTTAAGAGACTGGAAGACTCTGTAAGAACATATCTAACAATGGGATGTAAGTTGTACCGTTGGGGGCCAAGAGCTGCCCAAAGTTTCCCAATCGACATACTATGGTGAATGGACAGCCCATGAAACAGGGATTGCTAGTCTACATACTATACTAGTCAACACTTTGTAATTAGTACATCAGTGCATGCTGTTAGAGCAATACATAATGACAATTTGTTTCAATTTCAGGTTCCCCCCCTGGTGATTTACTCACTGAAATTAAGAGTATTTGCTTGTGCAATCTAACATGTTGTGTATGTCCTCTGTGTGAAAGAGGTTTCCTTAGAATAGATGAGTAATGTGCTAGGCATGGAATTACAGGGTTAATCCAAAAACGAAAATGGTCCCACAATTTACTCACCCTCAAGTCAGGTGACTTTCTTCTTTCAGACAAACACAATCGGCATTATATTAAAAAAATTCCCTAGCTCTTCCAATAACAGAAGTGACTGGTCCTTTGTTTTTGAATCTCCAAAAAGCACTAACCCTTTAAATATAAATCAGTAAATCATAGCTGATGATTTCTAGTAGGCTACGAAACATGATGCTTTACACTAATATACTGAATGCAGTTTCTGGGATGTTTTTTTTTTTTTTTTTTTTTTTTTTTTGGTATACCCAGTAAAGGTCATGATCTTACTGCCTTACACAATCTTTTTTCTACAGTATGTCTCTAGGCTTGCTTGCGTTCCCCAATAACAAGTACTATATGTAACTATCAATGGGTAAATCAGTAATGATTATATATTAAAGAGTTTTTCCAATTATTAAATTCACTTTAACAATAAAGGGTTTTAGCTTGTCCACTGTAAAAGTTTCTTAAATTACAATGTTAAAAACGATGCAGTTCTTTGATTTCAGGTCAGAATGTCCACTCTTTAATGTTCACCCTGTTAAATTAGCAACCCGGTCTCACCCCAAGACGTCATATAACTGACGTTTTGGGACGTCTTTTGACCATACGTCAATATTTGCCTTTTTAGGGCCCCCTTAAACGTCGGTAGATGAGGTTATGGGATCCTAACTCTACCCCATACCTAAACCTAACCCTAAACCTAACCAGTCACTAACTGACGTTAAAGGTAAAGCGTCAGTTGTATGACGGCCCGGGATCGCCATCTACCGACGTTTAAGGGGGCCCTAAAAAGGCTGATATTGACGTATGGTCAAAATACGTCCCAAAACGTCAGTTATATGACTTTTTGGGATGAGACTGTGTTAAAATTAGAGGACAGTCTATATAGTGATTGTGAAAGTAATTTATCGTTAAAGTTGAAGAAGTGGTGTATTCAACGTTCTTTGGTAATATTTTACAAAATAGTCATCGTCCTTGGTGTGAACCTGCCTTTAGTCATGGAACAAAAGGTTGTTGACGAATGTTTTTCATCATATAGTTTTCATTAACAAAATTAACATGGTAAAATATCAAGTATCTGCATATTCTAACTTAATACTGAAGAACATCTCTCTCTCTCACTAGAGAAAGGGGCGATTATCCATTAGTTAATCAATAGCATAAGCATTGTTCTCTCAGACAGATAAAAAAAAAGGAAAAATAGGTTGCCAATCATACTCAGATGGCTGTTAATAGCTGAGTGACCCGTTTAAGTAAAGTATAAGGTTCAAGTAAAGATTCCCAGGCTCGACAAATCACATGAACTGTGGATTCAATACATTTCATTGATTAAAAACATGCAAATATTGTCAGCTTATGTCTACACTTTTTAGACCATAG